CATCTGCGGCAGTAACGCCTAGGTCGGGGTCATCGCCGCCACGCCGCGCGCCACCGCCACTAATAATGCCCACGTCGACTTATTTTGAAAACGCAAATTGGCCCCGGCAGACTCGCTCCGTCTCTCTCTCGCACTCATGGGGCGTCCCGTATGGGAGAGAGACAGAGCGACAGCCGGCGGGGCTTGTCGTCGACCTGGGGGCCGGGGGGCGGCCCAGGGGTCGCCGTCGGTCGGGGCGGCGTGGTGCTTGCTTGGTGCGCGCGCGCCGCTGTCGAACCTCGAAGGCGTTGTGCAAGTCACACCACTTTACTGCGTTCGTCAGTTCAGCAGGCGTGGCGGCGGCGGCTTTAGCGGCAGTTTTGCCGCCGTGCTGCTTCGGGGCCTACGGGGCCTTCTGGCTGCGCCTCATCGTGGAGCCAAAATAAATCCCCTTCGTGTGTGTGTGTTGTGGGTGTGTGTGGCGGACCTCCACCGTGAAATAATCCAGACCGCGAGCTAGCGCCGCTAGCGCCACCCGAAACCCAATCCACAAACAAGGCGGCGGGGAAAAAAAATAAATTTAAAAATGCAAGGATGCAGGGGCGTCCTAATTGGAAGGACGACACAGAAGAAGGGTTGTGTGTGCGAGAGAGAGAGAGAGAGACAGAGTTTAGCTCGAGAGGACCTTTGGCTGCCTTTGGCGAGCTAGACGGCAATTAGAGGCTTGTGACGCCGCGCCGCACAAAACGTTAAAACGTTCAGCAGCTCGTCTGCCTGCCTGCTTCTTTTTCGGCGGTGCCCCCCCCCTCCCCCTTTCCCACGACGGGCCGCCTTGTATATATTCGGCTTTAACCCCCCCCCCCCCTCTCACACACTCACCTCTCTCCCCCTGTTCCGCCATGCTCACTGCAACGCCTGCAACTGCAAGGCCCGCTGCAGACTGCACCTCGCAAAAAGTCATTACAAGCTCGTCAACCTGGAACCCATATGCCCCATCGCATTAACATTCTAAATGGCCCGGTGCTGTGTGCCTCCCCCTCCCCCATCCCCTTTTTCCGCGCCGTTCCATCCGCGTGTTTACGTCCTGCGGCACGTCACGCGTTCCGCTCCGCCACTTCTCGCAGTTATTGAGCGAGAAGGGAGGCGGTCAGGCGGCGGTCCTGTGCTTCGGTCGGCCTCCCAGTCAAAAACCCCGACGCGTTCAAATTTGCCGCCGCGGCGGAATCAAAATCCGTCTTTGTCTTCCGTTTCCCACACTTTTCTTCTCATTTTTCCGCGCAATAATGGAAATGACGAACCCGGCGGGCCGCGCCGGCCGGACTAGTTTGGCGGTGTGGTGGTGCGATAGGCGGAGGTGCGTAATTGTGCACAGCAATTACCCGCACGCGCGTGTGTGCCGGCGTGCCGTCTCTCTCGCACCCTTGCGGCACGCCCCGCGAGTGCGAGAGAGACAGAGCGACGACAGCGGTGTTCGGCTTGAAGCAGCGCAAGCGCAGCAAACGTCCCGATTCCATTACGTCCTGAGAGCGAGCGAGATAGGGAGAGCCTTGACCTATGCTGACGGCGCTCGGACGGCGCTCGGACTTCGCTCGGACGGCGCGCCGCTCGCACGGGAGCTCGTAAAACGCGCCTCAAATGCGCTTCATTCGATATGCAATGAATGCCGAGTCGTTATCTTCCGCGCCGACGCCGGGATGGCCGCTCCCGCGGCACGCGGAGGACGCCGTCGTCGCGGTGTTGGCGTTGGCGGCGCGGGTCGGGCACGGCGTCGTGGCCGCTGGGCCGCCGTTGGCCGTGGCCGCCGCGGGGTGGCTCGTGACCGTCCCGATCAAGTGCCGCGCGGAGGAGGCGCAGCCTAACGAGCACGCCGAGGTCGCCGCCACACCGCTAATTGGGGTCGGCGTCGCCAGTCGCGGGTTCGAGTCCCGCCGCCGCGCCCGAGTTTATTTCTTTTCGGTGTCTTTTTTCGCCGGGTTCGATTCGACGACGACGACGACGGGATTCTCGGCGTGCACACTGGTATTGCCGTCAGGTGAGCTGCGGCTGTGGCGCGCGGGCAGGCCGGCCGGCCGTGTGTGTTGTGGGTGGCTGGGCAGTCAAGGCCGGTGCGCCCGCCGCGCCCCGCCGCGCCCCGGCTGTGGGCCGGAGGGCGCCCGGGTCAAGGATGTGTACTCCCTCGCCCCGACCAGTGGAACGAGTGGAACGGCATCGGGCGCGTTCGAACGGGGGCCGTCTTCCCGGCGCGGCTATTGTGATCCCGGCCGTTGCGACGCAGCCCGCTGGCGGCGCGGCGCAGCGCGGCGACTTGCACGCGGGGCGGGGCGCGAGGCGCGGTGCGGCACAGAGCGCGGACGACGCGACGGGGCGGCGGCAGCGGCGGCGGCATCTGGTGGCGAGATCTGCTTGCTGCTCTCGCGCGCGCCTCGCCGCGCTCTGGGTCCTGCCGGAGCCTCCTGCAGCTCCTGCACGACTAGAAACAAAACTCGTTGGCGCAAGCGGCACGGCCTGCACTGCAGCACGATGAAACGAAACTGCAGCGGCGGCGCGGCGCGGCGCGCGGATCCCGGTGGATTTATCGAATCGCGACATCGACATGCACGGCGCCGGCCTGGCCGAGGGCCTGGCCGTGCTGGCCGGGACTGTCGATGGAGTGAAAGGGAGGCGTCATGCGCGGTGTGGCGGTGCGGCAGTGTGGCGGTGTCGCCCCATTGTCACGCGCGTGCCGGGCTTGCGTCACGCCGCGGCGCCATAGCGTCGCGCCGCCAATGCGCCAATGGACACGACGATGATCGTCGCCGAGGTGCCCGCTCCGCTCCGAGGCAACACGGCCAAGGACGCGGCGGACAATAGCGGGCGGGACGCGTCGCTGCGCGTTGCCTACCTCCCCGGGCGGAGGACGGCGTCGAGGAAAATCACTTGGGTTTCCTTTTGTTTTACACGCGGCGCCCTTGGCTGCCCTGGGTAGTAAAGGTAGCACTGCGCCATTGCGTCACTGTGTGTGTGTGTGTGCTGCCCTGACATAGCCGCAGGTGTACTCGCTGATCACTTGGCGCCGGCTTAGTAGGGCGCGAACTGCAAAAAGTTGAACGCCGCGCTTCCTGATTGGCGCCCTGCAGTCACGTGACCCCAGGGGTGGGCTGCCCCAGTCGAGGCTCCAGTAATGGCGGCAGTACTTTTGCCAGCGACTGTACAGCAGGCCCGGCACGGTCTGGCATGGCGGGCACGCCGCAGCCGCTTATGAAACGGAGCCACGGGCGGGGCGGGGCGGGGCTGCAGGGGCGTGCACGGGCGGTGGCACTCGGCGTATCTGATCGGATCCGAGGATGAAATCGGCCTGGTCTAGGCGGGGCGCGGCGGCGCGGGGGCGCGGGGCGGGGCGGCCGCAGGGAGGGCCGCACTTGCCCACGGGGCCCCGGGGGCAGCAGGGCTAAGCAGGGCAGGACTCGCTGCAGGACTTGCTCCAGGAGACAGCACCGCCCCGCCGGCCTTGATTGGTCCGCTCGTCACGTCGCCCTGATAGACAGACAATCTCCGGCCCAACCAGGACGGTACTCTCAATCGCGAAAGGAAATCGCCTCGTGAATACCCCGTGCTCGGGGTTGGTCCAGAAGATTGGCGTGGGGTAGTGCTGGGGTTGGTTCTTTGCGCCCCGGCAGAGGCGGGTGCGCAGCGTGCAGTCGTGGTGTAACTTCGGACATCATGCTGAGCCCGGCGCCTGTCGCCCTCGCCGCCCTGTCCGGCGATACCCCACGCCGCGCGGACCGTCCTGGACCGTCCGCCGCCCCGCGCGGCACGGGGTATCGCCGCTAGGTATTGGGTGACGTAACGGGACGTTTTCTCACGACTGTCGCTCCGTCGCGCGGGGTAACCCGACGCGTCGCGGCGTCGCGGGGCTGAGCGGGCAGAGCGCGGCAGTACGTCGCCGTGGTGGCGCCGCGCGAACCGCGTGTAGTGCAGCGCAGTGCAGCGCGGCGGCGGTAATGTAGACGACGGCGCCGAGAGTCGTTTTCGTCGCTCTGTCTCTCTCGCACCTCAGCGGGACGCCCCGTGAGTGCGAGGGAGACGGGGCGACGAAAACGACTCTCGGAATCAGCCTGCTTGCTGTTTGCCGCCTCGCCGCCACGACTTGCCATTGCGCCACCACGCGGCCTGGCCGGCCAAGCCGCTGTCCGAAGTGCCCTGGGGCGTCGCGTTGTCGCGTTGGTGGCGTTGCGCGGCCCGCACCTGGGCGCCTGGGACCCCGCCGGCCTGCGGGTTGCCTACCCGCAGGGACGCCCCGCAAAAGAATGCTGCGTGACCGGGGCGGCAAGTCAAGCCCGCCGTCTGACTCATCAGACGCGCCGCAGCAGCGCCGGGCTGCCGGTTCACATATTCAGTATTTATGTGGGGCGACTTCGGTAAAAGGCTTTCCGTGTCAGATAGCGCGCCGGCTGACTTGCTGACGGATGGCTCAATCGCGGTGCCACACCTCGAGGTGACAAAACGCACCATTATCACGTGCCGTGCCTGGCCGTGCCCTGCCAGACCTGCCCCGCGGGGCCCCGGCCCTGCCACGCCACACCAAGCACTAATTGAGCGTCGCGAGGCGAGGCGTACCGGCCCGGCCTGCGTCCTGGACGAGGTCCTTGACGAGGTCCTGGACGAGGTCCTGGCTGGGGAAACTGCGAGGGGAATGCGTCAAGATGTGTCGCTGCTCTCCAGTCTCCGGTCGGGTCGTGGTCGTCGTGGCCGTCGTGGCCGGGCGTCTGGGTCGCCGTCGCGCCGTGGCCCCCGAGCCCCGTTAGTCGGAGATATGCGAAATGCCCCCCTCGGCGCGTCACTGTATCATTGTTTTTGTTTATGTATACCTCGGCGGGAATACCCCGTGTGATCCTGGGGTCTCTCGGCGCCGGGGTATAGCCACTCCCTGGGTTGTTCTTGTTGACAGACGGGCACGGGAGCCACACGACTGGGCCTTTGTTTTGATCTGTTTCTCTCTATCAGTTTCACTAATTCTTTTGTTGTTTGTTCTTTTGTTGCAGATTCCGGATAGATAACACAGATCATATTATCGATGTTAACAAAGGAAACATCGCATTTGAGTATGATCAAGTAAATATTATCTGTCCTGTGTATGTACCTGGTACAGATGAGGAGAATGCTGAGAAGTATATAATTTATAATGTAAGTATTGGTTGTTCATTCAAAGTGGTTCCTCTTATTTCAAACTGGCTGCATTGTTAAGTCTTATCTCTTTGTTCTTTTTTTGTTTATTCAGGTATCAAAGGAAGAATATGACACATGTCGGATCACCAATCCAAATCCTAAGATAATAGCTGTATGTAATCAGCCACATAAATTAATGTATTTCACTATCACTTTCCGTTCATTTACCCCTCAGCCAGGTGGGCTTGAATTTCAACCTGGCGAGGACTACTATTTTATCTGTAAGTATTGCTGTTGTTACATAAACACTTCCATTCTTCTTCTGCTATATTCAACTAACCTTGTAACTTTTTCTGTGCAGCAACATCTTCAAAAGATGACCTGCATCGACGCATTGGTGGTCGATGCACCACCCACAACATGAAGGTGGTTTTCAAAGTGTGCTGCAGGCCAGAAGATATGCATAATCAGAGTAAGTTTAGTTTCTGCCCTTCTTGTGAACCATCTGAAGCGTAACATACTGCATGATTAAAATCTAATTTGGTGTCTTTTTAATTACAGCATCAATGAACCGTGTCCCCACCACATCAATAAGTAGCCCATCAACTCCTCGCCCAGTGCCTACATTTGCGCCCACCTTTGCTCCTCCACCACGTGTAGAGCTTCCCACAGTACGGCCTACTTCGTACAAGGAAATAGACCTAACAAGCTACAATGTTAAGTCCACAACAAAGAAAACTAGTAAGTTCAAAATTCAAATTTGATAAAAAAAATAATCGAATTGCATGATTTAACAAACTATTTCTTTTTGCAGATGAGTATGAGAAGCATCCTAATGAGGTGGTAAAGAATGAAGAGCTAACTTACAATAGTGCAATTCGAAGATCAGGGAGCACTCATGCTCACAGTTGGTTACTGCTGTTGAGTGTTTGTGCTGTGGCTGCAGCACAACGGTGGGACATGCGGTGAACAAGAGCATGTTTACCACACTGATGCAGCATGTTGGACATTATCTGCCTGTGCTGCAAGTGTGTGGGAGGGCTGATTATTGGTTTCGGTTCAAGGACCAGATTCCTCATCCCTGTTCCTCCTTAAATCATAGAAGGAAAGAACTTTACTTTTCCTCTGTGTTCCCTTCATGCGACACTCAGCCCTACTGATGTGTCTCATCTTACCACTGTGATGAAAGTGAGAGTGCAGATACCTTGTGTGTTTGTTAGACATTGCACGCTGTGTGTTTAGTGTCATATTTAATGTGTGCACAAGACTCAAGACTACTTATGCTTCATGAAGACAAGATGTACACAGTGCGTCAAGATACAACCACAAGGAGCAACCTCTAATGTTCAGCAAATTACCTCTGTTTGCTGGGTTATTCTAATGATAATGGAAAAAGCACCAAAGTCTTGAATGAAATGTAAAGTTAGTGTTTTTGCCAGTGATACTTCTACATGACATGTTTTATCATTTTCATTTTAAAATGTTTTAATGGTTCAAATCTAAACAAACGTGGTATGTACCACAAAATTTTGTTTCTCTCTTTGATGTCACGTTAGATGTTCCTTACATCTTGCCATTATGGTTTGTGTTCTTTCATTGTCATGTTACTGTCACTTAGCGTTTTACTACATTATTGTTGTTTTGTTGTCATCATCATCGTCATCATCATAAATTTCATATAAATGTCATCACAATTCATTCATTGTCATATTTTATTTTTCATTGCCATCTCATTTTGTATAGTGTATTGTCATGTATTTTGCATCAAAGTCATCATTTTACCACATGTTCAAAGTGTATATAAAATTATAAATATATAAATATATGTTTGTAAAATTTCATCAGCACTTGGAAAAAGTGTGTTGTGATAGTAATTAGGTGTATGTATCTATTTAATGAAAACACTGCAGTGGATCAATCACAAATTGAAAACTAGGTAGTTAATTTTGGACTTAGTTTCTGTTGTGGCTTGTTGTGTAAAAATCCTTTATTGTTGTTGTTGTTTTTTTTCTTTTGTCTGCTCACACTCGAAATGTGACAATAGTTTGAAATCGTCCTCTTGCTTTTTTAAAACAATCTTTTGTACAAGAGGATTTTACCTTCGATTCTTCATATCATGAGGTAAACAAAGCAAAGAATTTTCATATCATGAGTTATCTCTCAGAGAAGCTGAAGACCCTCTTTTCTCCTTTGATGAAAATGTAAAAAAAAATTTATGTTATAATTTTAATGTAATATATTTATACACACAACAAGCCACTCCATTTTGTTCTTTGTAACAGCCATCAAACATTTATAGCTGACTTTTGCAGTCACTTAGATTGAAAATAAATTTAAAACACATAATTCTGATTTACATAGGAAGAAAACTGTCTAATGCCCCCATTGTAATTATTGTAAATACAGTGGTATATAAGTATTTAAGTGCCATAAATGGGTATGTTTTTCTGTACTTTTGTTCATTTTCTTAGTATTCAACACTTTCATGAATTTGAATGTAAAGGATGGAATAGTGAAGAAAGTTAAGTAACATCACTGAAGCTAAATCATGTTTGGCACTAAAAGCTGCAAAAAACCTGGTGATTTGTTTGGAGGAATCAGGTAAATTGATTTTCTCATTAGCATCCTCCCTCTTTTCCACCGCTGAGTGAGCCTCCCTCAAGTAGATGCAAGTTATGATGGTTCACAGGCGGTTGAAAGGTTTTAAACACTTCTTACTCACAACCTGAGCATTCCAGTGGTGATGTCTGCTGTGGAGCTTGTTGCATACTTTGTTGGACCAATTAGACGATGGAATTGTTATGTAGTAGCTAACACGGCACCCATATTTTTATCAGTATTGTGGTGTCACTGTTCCGTAATTTCAGTTACTGCCGTCTTTGCATCTCATTGTCAGATTGAAATTACTGGTCTCTGCCTGACCTGTTCATGATGGCTGGCCTGCCCCTTTCTTGCAATCATTTCAGACCCTATGGGCATGGATGACAGTGTAGTACTGCTGAATTCTAGCTGCTTCATTATATACCTTCTCAAGAAGAACCTACCGCAAAAATGTCAATTTCTTACTTTTGCTCCAGTTGCCGCAAAAATAGCTATGTTTTTAAAACTTGATTCTGTGAAGACATGCCAACATAACTGCACTGGTGAATGATTCTGTAGTGCATCTCATTTCCCTCGTAGAAAAGATAGAATAAACTCTAATAGTACTCTACCTATCAAATTGCAACAATATTTCTCACAAATTCATCTTTTGGTACTTATAGACTGAAGTAATGTTGCATGGTCCATAAATTTAAGATGCATTAATTTGAGAAAAGATTTCGTTGAGCCTTTTTTTTCCTTTGTCCAAATCATATTCCAAACCAGAATCTTTTAACTAGAATCTGAATTGGAGAGTATATTTATTTTTTTAGAAGATAAATTTGAAAATTGGAATGGGGTGAAAAACGTTTTCAATTCTTGCAGTGTTTCACATGAGCTTTAGGTGTTCATAGTGTGAAATTTGAATGATGAATTTGTTATTGTAATGATGTAAAAGTTACAACTGTTACTATTGTTAGATGAAATGTTTTTTATGTCCTCTGTATGGCACAAGATGATTCTCAAGATCTTTTTTAATTTTATTTTTTATTTATTAAGTTTTGAGAATGAATCACTTGACTAGAAACTTAGCTTTTGCATAAATAGGATTTTGTTTTCTGCAGTGGTTATGAGCAAGAGTAAGTAAGTACTGAAAAATTGTACATACTGATAAAATTGGTACAGCTCTCTTACTCTTGCTACTAATCTTCCTGTAGTGATGAGTTTCTATTTATTGTGGTTCATTAAAATTGAATGGAAATGCCTAAATGTTATCTTCTCTTTTGGTTGATCGATCTACAAAAACTCATTTTTAAATCAGGTTTGAAGAGATCCGTTTGTGATTTGTTTTAAGTGTTACTTTAAACTGCAGAGAAATGCAAAAATGCCTACATCACCTTGAACAGAGGTATATTTTTTTGTGAAAAAGAAAAATTAAAGGTTTAGAAAATGCTCAAGCACTGTCTGTTCATGTGTGAAAGCAAAAACTGGCGCCTACTGAATTAGAGGATCCATTTTAATCAGTCAATCATAAGTTATCAAACGTTCCCTGCTATTGTTTCCTTTTTGTGTAAATAAGGTCCCCGTCCCTGTTTGTTCATGAAGTGCTGCTAGATTGTTTTCCACAAGCACAACTATGTATACAATTCCTTTGTTTCACATTCCATCCTCTTTCTAGCTATTTTTCATTTACATGTATTTGGTTATCATTCAATCTCCCCATCTTTTCATCTGTTTTGTGTGCAGAAAATGTAGCAAAAGTAATTTAAATCAGAAGTTGGTGTTTTTCCTGTTGCATATTTATATTCACCACCTTATGTCACTGTACACTATACATTGTGAAAGAATATTTTATAACTGACTTTTGTACAGAATACATTATTGTAACATGAACTTGCCTCTTATTTGAATCTACTGGTATCCCAAAATGCACTTAGAGTCAGTAGCAAGAAAATTAATTGAAAACAGCAAAACAACTCGATGACAACCAAATCATTTAAAAATCAAAGTCATCCGTTTTACATAAACTTTGCAAACAATAACAAAATAAACTAAAAACAAAAGCATGATAAAAAACTAAAGTCAAAATTATTTTACAGGTGCTAAACATGCTCTTTGCCATGTAATTTCTTGACAAGATCAGATATCAATGCATTGAAGACGAGAGGATTAACATTCCTTGACAGCTGGTATAGGAGAAACCAGTCGCCTATCTCGTACTTCATTGCGATGGTCTTGATGTCCTCCAATGGTCCAAGACGGGCACGGGAGCGGAGCAAATACATCCTCATCTTCGTGAAGACAATTACATTAATGCGGTACAACATCATCAGACCAGTGCTGATTGAAAGTAGCCCGAACCAGAACCACAAGAACACATATATTTTCTCATTCACAATATTGAGCGACAGCACGCAGAGACCATCCAAGGTCTGCGCAGAGCCGCTAGCTCCAAAATAGTGGAAGGTGCACTTGGTGACTATGGGGAACACACGAGACATGGGATCACTTCGCTCTCCAGGCTCCATCATGGTGAATTTCACTACATCAGATCCGTAGGTTGAGAACTCTCCGTCCAAGAACATGTCCATAAAATATATCTGTCCGACCACGTTCACAAAGTTGAGAATCTCGCACATGAAAAAACGGAGGGCATAGATATTCTGTTGGTGCATGTTGGTGGTAAAGAAGTCGACCACGACCTTCTGGTGGTCCTCCTGGGCGCCCTCGGGCTTGTTGAGCTCCTGGACGAGCATCTCGATGCGGCCGCCCTCCCATCGCTTCCAGAGAGAGCGGGGGACGTAGAACAGGACGGCCTGGAAGAGCAGCACGAAGCACACCCACTGGTAGTACCTGTGGTACTTCAGCTCGTCGCGGTCGGTGTGCCCGGCGACGCCCGGCTGGATCACGTCCTGGCCGAGGCGCCCACCCCGCTCGGGGAGAGTGAACGTCGAGTTGATCCAGCAAAAGGAGTTCATCACCATTTCGGGGACCGCGCCGCCGCCCATGCAGTGGATGGGGTCGCCGATGAACTGTTTTGATGTCACTACCACCGACAAGGTAATCAAAATTATCACCGTGGCTTTGTAATGCAGCCTGAAGATGTTATTGTCAATGGTCACTGCATCCAGCTTCAGCAGTCCCTTCACCGATTCTAAAGCTTTCAACATTTTGCCGAGCTTTCTCTGCCAGCACCAAACGCCATTCAACCTGCACGAACTGACCAACAATAATAACAAGCCACAACGCGTCTGACTGCGGCGTGCGGCGGCGTTGTCTTCTTCTTTGTTGACCGGCGGCGGCGTGGCGTGGTCGCCAGAGCGCGCCAGCTGTGCCAGCGGCGGCAGGCCGTGACACTGGGCGCGGGCCGGCAGGGACAGGCAGGGAGGGAAGTCCCAGTCCATAACGTAGCTCTTCTGTTTCTTAGACCCATAGCAACGTTCCAAATGGATTTCAGACAAATCTGAGGTGGTCAACCATTTTCACTGGAAAAAAGCTAAGGCTTTAACGTATTTGGCCAAAAATGTTTAATGACTCAATTTATAGAGTATGTTGTGCTTGAGCCCTTCTTAATAAGTCCTTCAATTTTTCCAAATTTTGCTGTGTTGTTGCTGTGGAGTTGGGTTGTGTCTTCATTGTGTGGCCATTACTTTGAGGTGGCACAAAGGAGTGTTGTTGGGATCTTTAGTCTGACAAAAAGAAGCAAACACTTTCCTTTGATAGCTTTATTATAGACTGCAATTGTTAAGTCAATTTTTGGAGCTTTCTTTTGTGGGGAAAAGGGGTGGGAGGATTTTAACAAAGCTATTACATGGAAGTCCCCTATTGTTAACTTCATGACTGATCTATAAAGTCATCAATCATACTAGGAGACTATGAGAAGTGATTGAAATTTTTTAACATGGCAAAGAAGAAGTTGAGACAGAACTTCTTGCTTGTAGTGAGAGCTTTCAATACATGAAGTCAATCATAAGGCAGAATTGTATTATAATATTTTAAGTCTATTAATATTACAATAATAAGGATTATTTCAAGTATTTTTGTACTTAATACTGAGCATGGCAAATGAAAATGGAATGAACCCCTGTTGAACTGACATCAAGGGAAGAGCTGATGACGCATAACTTTGCATGTCACAGACATTTGTCCATAACACACAACTTTACTTGCACTTTACTGCCTACCTTTGCAAAATTAATGTAAATATTCTTAACAGTCAATTAATCAACACTAATTTTGTGCCTTGCACTCAGAAATATTGTCACATCATAATATGAAAAGTACACACTCACAGTCATACATAAAACACACACACACACTTGCACAAAACTAGTTGCTATTAAGTTCGATACTAAACTCCCATTTCAATAAACAAGGAAAAACATGATTTAACAAGTCCTGCACACATAAAATACAATTAAAAAATTTGTAGCTGCAGTTAGAAATATGAACAAATTTATATGCAGCATGTAATACAGTAGCATGCAAAAGCCACTACCCCACGATGATTCATGAAACCATCCATACACCACCAAACCAAAAAGTAAAGTTATATTATTAAAATCTTAAAAATCAGCCTGGCGGAACAGAAAGCTTTTCTGTAATGTAATCAACCCTCGTTTTAATATGAGAGAAGATATCTGAAGCTAGTTCACCCACAACTGTATATCGTGACTTATTGAAGCTAAATATGTCTTGTAGCAGGCCCATTACTTGATCCTAGAAAATTAAAAAAGAAATTAGAATAGAAATAAAGTGTTTACAAGTTCATGAGAAAGTGAGTTCAGTTTTACTTACTCGAAAATAATAACAAACTTCTCTCAGTTTTTCATCAGGCCCTAGGAATCCCCAAGCCATTAATGGTGACATGTGTTCTGAGATTGAGTAAAAATGAGACATGAATCCATAAGGGTATTTCAACATTCTTCTCTTTGCCTTCAAAACTGACCACACTGCTGTTGCCAGAGCCTGAAACAGAGAAAAAAATCCGACTGATGTTAATAATTTGGTAAATTACAACACAAGAATAAAGTACTTGATTGAATGAAGCTCTTTACCGTCTCTTTAAAACCATTTGAAAGCCATCGATTCTGAATAACAGCTGTGACTGATGACGGAGGGTTATCAAGATCATCAAATGCATCCATCAGTATGTAATCCATAACAACATCAAAGAATGTCATTGCTTTCACTCCTTTGAAGCCAAGTTCCTTCTCAACATCTTCCCAATGCTTCAGCTCTTGTAAAAACTCTAGCATCTCTTCATATGCGACAAGAAAATCCTTTGGATCCTGTGAAGTAGATGTGATAAAAAAAATTAACAAACAGAGCATTCAGCATAATGTTCAACTTGACTGAATTAAATTTCAGCGCAAAGTTTACCTTGTCAGCAAATAACAGAAGATCCACGAGAACCTGTCGGCCTGCATCAGCAAACCATTGCCATGTGGAGTGGTCCAGGAATAAATATTGGAATGCGAGACGAACACAGTGCAACTTGCTCAAGTATTCTGTGTCAGAATTGCAGTGCACCATTTCAGTTCGTAGGCATCTGCAAACACAAAATATATTGTAACATAATTAAAACCCTTCAGATATAAATGAAAATTAAATTTGCAAAAGAACTCATGGAATCTTACCTGTACGGTATACCTTCCTCTTCCAGTTTTTTAACAGCATCTTTGTAAAGAGGAAGCGTGTCAAGCCCAGGGAAGGTATCTTGAAACTCATCCAGTTCACGCAAATCTGCCACCTGGAACACATAAGTTGTTCGATTATTTTCTACTTTTCAAATTATTAGCCCTCTTCTTACGCCTAGCACCAACACTATTTTTTATCCTCCCTTCCCGCTGAAGTCAAATTTAAGGAGGTCCTTACAATGTTCAGAGCAAGAGATTCTGGTTTGAAACTTTTTCAGCACAGAGCAAATTGTCTCTCCTGCAGCCACATTTCACATTTCCTTACCCCGTCCCGTCCTCCGGAGCCAGACACGCTGCCGTCACTGTAACCACAGCCACTCGAATCGCCCACACTCATTTTCGCTGTGTTTGTGTTCCCCCTTCCTTTCAAGTGACTATTTCAATATTTTCTGAAGCAGGGACTTTCGGTTTCTCGGGCCTCATGGATTTGTCCTCACAACCGCGACAGGAAGGTGGTTCTGCTGGTTCGAGGGTCAGTTTGTTTGGATGCTAGCTCCCACACTGCCACAGCTCCTAGCCGGCAGCCCCCTTACCCCTTCCCTGCCCTTCCCCTCACCTCCGCTTGGCCGGCCGGCAGTGGCCGGCAGACTGGCACCGACGTCAACAAACAATCACACCGGGGACTCCCCCTCCCCCTCCTCCACCTAGCAGCCCGACGCCATCGGAAGCGGTAGCTTCTTGCAATCAATTTCCCAATCGCGATTGAAAGCTAGGCCCCTCGCGTCCAGTCGTCGAACCTCTGCAAATACAGTGTCAACCAGAACGTCGCCAAGACGGAAGAGGAGAGCGAGAGGCCCGTGGGTGGGGGAGGGAAGGGGGGCCACACGCGAAACAGGACCCAGCGGCCGGTCGGACCGATCAAACACTCCGCGTTGCTCGCGTTGCAACCGAGACGCGGTGCAGGGTGCAGGCCTCGGTGTAGGCCTCGGTGCAGGCTCGCGACCGCGCGGCAGCACGACTTGACTGTGCTTCTGCTACTCGCACATTATCGCCCTATCAGCTTGATGCGCGATGCTCGACGGCACCGCTGCGTTCCGCCGCGCCGCGGCCGGATGGATGCACTGACTGCTCGGTGCACTGCTCGGTGCATCGGTTCGAGGCAGGGCGGGGCAGTGGCAGGGCCCTACACTCCGCACATTGGGAAGCCCGCCAGTCCGCACTGCCGCACACACCGCCACCACGAGGCGACGAGCACCGCGACAGCGGCGGTGTACAGGGTGTTGCGCGTGTTGCGTCAGGCCTGCCGCCGCCTGCCTCGCTCTGTCTCTCTCGCACTCATGGGCCGTCCTCTAGAGGTGCGAGAGAGACAGAGCGACGAGAACGACTCTCAGGCTGCGGCTCGGGGGGCAAAACGAAGAGAAACAAAGCTATCGCGGTCAACGTTCCAGACGGTTTGTCGCAGAGAGCGCCAGAGCCAGACTCGACTCACGCCGTTGTCGCGTCGTCTCGCCGCGTCTTGTGGAGTGTCTTGGCCGGCGGAGGGGTGGGGCCCGCGGCCTCTTCACCTCAGGAGCCCGGAGCCTTATCTCGAGGACTTCTTTCGAAGTCGAATTTCTTCTCTGGCCATTCCCATGACTTTCCCCCTCAGACGGTCCTTCTCGAGGTCCTTCCCCGCGGCGTCCGCCGCGCCACAGCGTACCCACCTCGTCCTGCGCCGACACGAAGGACTCCGGGGTGGACATGACCCCCGTGTTGGTGTTGGAGCGGTACTCGGACAGCGAGGCGGCCACGCTGCCGGCACCGCGGGCAGAGCTCTCCGCCTTGAAGAGGATCGAGCGCTGCAACAGAACAAGAGACATTCCTTTATTTTCACGACCCTTCAAGGCGCGCGCGCACACACACGCTAGGTTCCCATCGTCAAAAAGCAGGGCATCGCGACGGGCACGCGGAAGCAAAGAAGGGAATCTTATCTTCATTATTTGCTCCAAGAATGAGCAGTCTCGGCATTTTCTCCACATTGGAATGGGAGGTCGTGGACGCCCTTGCTTGGGCTGGCTTGGGCCCTGCTCGCTGCCAGGGGAGGGCGCGACGGCCGGCGGGCTGGCTAGCCTGCCTGAGGCGCTGCTTGGAGGAGGCAGGCGAAGCAGGCGGTTTTGGATGTGGGTTACCGGGGGCAGCCTCGTGCTTGGCGGGGTGCATGGCGGGGACGGCGGCGCGGCCCGCAGCACGTGCAGCAGCACCTCCGCGACGCGCCGCCAGGGGGGACGGGCGGGCTGGGCGGGGCGGGGCGTGGAGGTCGCGGAGGCCGTGGACAAGGTCGGCATGAACCTGACCCGCTTGCGGCTCAGGGAGGGGAGCTGTGGACCAACATTGGAGGAGAAGCGCCAAAGCGACAAGACGGTCAGTCTGTCTCTCTCGCACCCCTAGGGGGTGCCCCGTGAGTGCGACAGAGACACAGCGACTCCGCTGCATTGTTCGGCAGCAGAGCGCGACGCGGCTAGAGGCAGCGCGGACCGCCCGGAGGGTAGGCAACCCATCGGGCACGGTGGTTCGACGGGCCGGCCTGCGCGCGGGGGTTCGCCGTTCGCCGACGCCACGTGACGTCACTACGTCACCTCATCGTGGAAGAGCTGGTCGCCCTGCTCCTGCAGGCGGTACGCGTCGTCCAGTAGCTCCTGCAGGTGGGCGGTGAACTCGGCCTCCTCGGCCGACGGGATGGCGAGGGTGCCGCCGGCGCGGCTCTGCTGCTGGTACGCCTCCAGCACCTCGTACCAGTACGAGATGGCCGTCTCCAGCGCCTCCATGCCTGCGGGGAAGAAAACACACCGTCGTTAGCGAACGTGCGTGGACATGGCGTCGCGGCCGGAGGACCAGGAAGGCATGCCCGTCTCGTGTATGAACACGACGAGGACGACGACGAGGAGGTGGTGCAGGCAGGGCAGCACGCCGCCTCGTTTGTTCGCCTTGTTCCGCTACGACTTGTACGGACTAACGGGAACCGGGGAACCAGGAGGCTCTTGGCAATGGGTCTGAGCCGTGTCGGCGGGAACGCCGCGCCGCGCCGACGGCCACCTTTGGCGGCAAATTAGCGCTCCTCGCTCCTTGACGCCCCTTCCCCTTCCCTTCCCCCTGATTGCCCGGCTTTGCTGACTCTTCTCTACAAAGACGTCTTGTCGTAATGGCGGGTAAACGGCCACCTCCTGTCCGGCCGCGACGCCGCCTTCACGTTCATCCGGGCGGCGGGGGCGGCGGGGGCGGCGCACGACCAGGCATAGGCAGTGATGGCAGTGACGGCGCATCATTTAGGACACCGGATGGCCGAAAATGGCAGGCGTCGCGCCTGCGTCTAGTCGTCGCTGCCGTCGCGGTGGTCGCTAGGTGCCCGTCTAGTCCCAGCGCGGTCCGCCAGGGGGCGCCGTCATCGCCACCGGAATGCATGAGGTACCTTCCTTCCCTTCCCTTTCCCGCGCCGCGCCCCCGCCACGGGGAAGCTGCAGAGTAGGTCGGGGTGTTGCGGGGGGCGGGGGGCTGGAGGGAGTTTGGAGTGTCCGCGGGGGGCGGGGGCGGGTTGGGGGCGGCATGACGCAAGTTTCAAGGTCGTGGAGGATCGATCCAGGGCTGTGGCTCTGCCCGGCTCTGCCCCCCCGGGGGGCCCACCACAGGAAGGGGAGGGGGTAAATGCGCATCAGTGGGGCCCTCGTGCTTCTGGAACGTATCGGGCCAACTCAGGGACCCTCGCCAGACCCTCGCGGTTCGAGGGGTCTTTGTGTGGGGCGAGGCGCGAGTGGCGCGAGGCCCAACAAAAAGGACTGACCCCGGCCGCGATACCCCCTGTCACTGGCGTGTGAACTCCACGCGGGGTATCGGCACTCGGCGTGCGTCTGCCAGCGTCTCCAGCGAGCGGTGCGCGAATGTAGGTCATCCCTTTCTGGAAACCACTGGAAATGGGGAGGGCACGCGCGGCGCAGCGGCGCGCCTGCAAGCAACGCACGGGGGGAGGAAGGGGCCCAGCCACAGAGCACAGAGCAGCGGACTGATTCCGAGAGTCGCTCTGACCCTCTCACACTCGGGCGTCCCGTGAGGTGCGAGAGAGACAGCGCGACGGAAACGACTCTCGGAGTCGGTCTACAGGGTTAGAGCACGCGCGTTCGTTGGGGCTGGAGGGGGGCGGCGGCAACGGGGTGCGAGCGGCTAGAAAAAAGACCCGGCGACGGGAAGGCGATAGAAACAAGTGGATAGAGGAAGAAGAGGAGAGAGAGAGGGAGGGGAGGGGGAGCACAGCACGACAACGAAGGACGAACGAGGGTGCGCGGAGGGGCCCTGGATGGGGGCGGGGCGGAGCGGGGCGAGGCGCGCGGACGGGGGTCGGTAAAGGGGCCACCGATGGAGTCAGGACGTCGGGGATTGGCTAGTTGGAGAGGTCATGGAAGGGGGCCGGGGAAAGGCCGCCAGAGTGGAGTAGGAAGAAAGCCCTGGTCCGTGCAATAGAGAGAGACAGAGAGATGGCCATTCTCTAGGGATTCCATTGAAGCTCGCCCAGGCGGTGTGCTGGAAGCAGCTGGAAGCAGCTGGAAGCGCAGTGAATGGGCCGGGCCACCAATATTGACGAATTAAACAGGCAGGCTGCAACAGGGGAAGCCCGCCCGGTCCGGTGTGCAGACAGGGCTGCCACGTCCAAGGGCCTAGGGCCTGGGGCCTCGCCGAGGCCTAGCCGAGGCCTAGCCAAGGGCTGCACTGCGTCACTGCAATCGAGGTCCTTCCGGTCCAGCCGCCCGCAGGCTGACTTCGAACAATCGTCGCTCTGTCTCTCTCGCACTCGCGGCGCGCCCCGAAGGGGCTCCGAAGGGGTGCGACAGAGTCAGAGAATCAGTCCGCTCGCGCGGCGCGCGCTCTAGAGAGCCCTTCCCGGCCACGCTGATCCGATGATTGGGACTCGACCTCTCTCTCCTCTCGACGCCCCGCGACCTCCTTATTGTCTTGTTGTTGTTGTTGTTGTTGTTGTTGACGTCGTCGTCAACCATCAGAATGGTCCATCCCTGCGTTTGATAGAAACCCCTCCCGCACCTGGCGACACGTCCGATTGAGAACAACGGTGAAATTTGCGTGTAAATTGTAAAGTCGAGGGGCCGTACCGCCGTACCGGGGTCCGCCCTGAATAGCCAACGTCCTGGTTTCGCTATAAATAATTCAACGTCGAATCGAGCGGCGCGTGCATTCCTCGTGTCGCGACGTCGCGCGCGAAATAAGGCGACGCGGCGACGCGTCACGCTTTTCTCCAGTCAGTCACTCCGGCGTCGCGCTGTCTCTCTCGCACCCTTACGGGGCGCGCCGTGAGAGCGAGAGAGACAGCGCGACGGCGCGGAGTCAGAGGGCAGGTGCAGCTGCACCGGCATGCACGGCAGGCCTTCAGAGGACCTTCCAGCTCGCTTCCAGCCTCCAGTGCCGCAGACTTTATCTCATCCCAGATTCCAGTGTGCTTCCAGTGGGCGCTTCCGCAGACTTCACTTTACAGCTTCCAGTGGACCCCCATCACCTCCGGCTCCTACACTCTATTTTGTCCAGTGCCGGCAGCGCCATTGCCAGCGCCACCGGCGCCACCAGCACACTGATTCCGAGAGTCCTTTCCAGCGCTCCGTCTCTCTCGCACCTGTCCAGAAGGCCCCGCGAGTGCGAGAGAGACAGAGCGACGAAAACGACTCTCGGAATCAGTCCCGACGGCGCCGCTCCACTCGGCCCCACGCCACTGGCAAAGTAAAGTGTGCCGGACAGGTCATCCTGTTCGTCACGTGGCAGCGTGCCGTCACTCCGTCACTCTCAATGCGGTAGCGGTCAGGGAGAGAGAGAGAGAGAGAGAGAGAGAGAGAGAGAGAGAGAGAGAGAGAGAGAGAGGAGAGAGAGAGAGAGAGAGAGAGAGGGGAGGGGGGAGGTGTACAGTGCAATGGAAGGCCGACGAACTCATTCGGAAGGAGCCCGCTGCCGGGTCATTCATTCATTCATTCATTCATTCATTCATTCTCGGCCACTCATTCATTGGCCTGATCATCCATCCGCTGTCCGAGTGGGTGGCTCCTCTCTGCCTGACCTGCCCAACGGCAAAGAAGCACCCAGCAGCCCGCGGGGCACCGCGAGGCACGCCGCCGCGGCCCGCAACAGGTGTCTCCTACACCTGTGAGTGCGGACGGAGCGGTCTGGTTTCAGAGACCACACACACACACACACACACGCCGTGGCCCCGGGTTCGAATCCGCGCACCGCCACGCACCTATTTTTGTCAAGCGAGGACTCTTCCGAGATGGATCACAGTCACTTGCTCTCACTGCTAGAGAGGTTTCGAACTCATCGGCAAAGTAAAAGAGAGAGAGAGAGAGAGAGAGAGAGAGAGAGAGAGAGAGAGAGAGAGAGAGAGAGAGAGAGAGAGAGAGAGACGGCGTCACTATGCGTCCCGCCCAGTCATTTGTCTCCACGTGTCCATTAACAAAAGACGGATGCACTGCCGACTGCATCACGAGGAACCACGCGCGTTTGCAGACCTGTCATTAGAATGTCACGCCGCGGGGCCGAGGGGGGGGGGGAGGGGGGGGGGCGCTACGTGCCGCCAGGCTTCCGGTCACATTAGCGCAGTGTGGCCGCGCGGACAGCGGCATCCGCGATGGCACACTTCGTCCACGCCACTGTCACCGCGACATGCAAATTAGACCACTTCGTTTTGGCACGACCGATCGGCATTTTGGCGATTGCATGCCTGCAGTTTATCAGCCGACCGCGGAAATTGAGTTGATCGCGTTTCGTGTTTGTGTTTTTGGTCGTGCGGGGCCTCGCAGTGCACTGCACGCGACTCCGCGAAAGCAACCCTTGCCGTGCGGCCGCGCAGTGGCTCGAGAGCGAGCCGAACCTTCCCCTCCCGAACGCCCCCCCCCTCCCCCCGGTTCGTGTCGCCCCAACCCCTTCGGCCGCCATCCGACGACGACGACGACGACGCGGCGACGCGACGGCGCCACCCGTACAAGGACCCTGGCGGGGCGGGGCGGGGCGGGGCGGGGCGGTGTCTGGACTCGAGTCCGCCAAATAAACAGCCACACTCAATCAATATTTGGCAGTGCTTTGAGTTGCGGGCAACGCGGGGCGGCAGGGGACTTCGCCTGGAGCAAGCGCACCGCTGCCTTTGGCTACGCCACTGCCGGTCTCCGTCTCTCTCGCACTCATGGGCCGTGCCGTTAGCGAGTGAGAGAGACAGAGCGACACGCTGGCCGTGACCTCTTTCGGCCGAGCAATTTACCAAGGGAGAGTATATATACCGAATAAAATAGCGAAACAGAAGGGAGAGCTTAAGTGGAGGACATAGGGCATAGCAGAGCAGGCGGACAGGCGGACAGACAGACAGACAGACAGACAGACAGACAGACAGACAGACAGACAGACAGACAGACAGACAGACGGCTCGCGCTGAGAGATGGCCGGGATTTGCATGGGATGCGGGAGGGCGGCACACTGTGGGATCAAAAGGCCTGCCTCAATGTAACGAATTTCATCGAGGCTGCTGCTGCTAGCTCAGGCAGACCGTCCACTCTGAGTTGGAAAGCAGTGAACTTCCTGCAACTCCCGGCCGGCGGCCCTGCGAGGACAGGGCACCGAACGGCGTTGAGCAGGCGGCAGGCCCTTGGGCCTGAGCTAGCGAAATTCCAAAACTTGACCCGAATTCGCAGCAACACCGCATCCAAACCAAGGCAGGGAAATCGCACTCAGTAGCGAGGCGGCATGCTGAACGAGACTTCCAGTGATACGCCCCGACGTGTCGGCGCACTGGAG